TGTGGTGGTGGTGGGGGTACTGGGAGGAGAAACTCATCTCCAAGTTAGCTACAGGGAGACTGATTTTTCAACCACTGTTATTATCCAAAACCGTGTTGGATTAAGTCCTGAGAGGCATGTGGTCCAGTGGAAAGAGCCCTGGCCCCTGTGTCAGATGAGCTGGGTTCAAATCCTGTCTCTGACACTAACTTCTACAGGCCTCAGTTTCCTCATCTGTAAAATGAGGAGACCAGACTAGATGGTTTCTGAGATGCCTGCCAGCTCTGTGATCCTGTGGCTTCTCAGCCTCAGTTTCCTCTTCTGTTGGACTAGAAGGTTCCTTCTAGCTCCATAGATGGTTGACCTGTGGGAACCTCTTTCTACCTCCCAGACCCTCAGGGTGGGAAACACCCCCAGCCTTGCACATCCAGCCTGTAGCCCTTGGCTGTGGCCTCCAGCAGCTCCCCTCTGAGGAGCCAGGCAGAGAGAGCCCTGGCCCAGATAAGTGAGTGCCCCTGCTCTGCTCCTGGACCCGGATATTTGCTGTTCCCTCAGGCCCCGACAATGTTTGCTGATCTCTCCCAGATTGCTAGTGGCAAGTGAGGCGACAGCACTGGAAAAGATTGATGCCATTCACCGGGAGCTCTCCTTCCTCTGGCTTCCACCTCTCCAGTTTCCTCAGTATCGTCTCCCAGACTTTCCCCCTTTGCTCTAATCTCTGAGGAAGAGGAAGGGAGCTCATTCACTCACCCTTGATCCCATCTCTTCCTATCTCCTCCTGTCCTTCCCGTCAATCATCTTCTCTGTCTCTGTCTCTATCTTTCTCCTCTCTCATTTTCGATCTCTCCTTGTTTACTGGCTCCTTCCCCCTGGCTCCTTCCCCAGGCATCCTTGATGCTTAGATAACCTTCATTTGACCCTGCCACCCTCTCGGGCCATCATCCTCCCCCCCACAGACAAGCTCCAGTAAGAAGCTGCCTCACTTCCCACCCCCTTGCCATCCGGCTTGGACCTCCCTACTTGACTAAATGTTCTCTCTGGCTCACCAGTGCTCTCTTTCTGGCTGAATCCAGTGCCATTCTCCTCGTCCTCATCCCACTTGGCATCTCTGCAACCCTGGATGCCACCAGCTGCCTTCTCCTCCTGGGTGCCCTCTCTTCTGGGGCTTTCATGACCCTGCTCTGTCTGGATTCTCCTTCCTCTCTCACTGCTCCTTCTCAATCTCCTTCGCTGGGCTGTATCCTTGTCTATACCATGTCCACTCCCCTATGCAGGTACCCGCTAAGGCTCTTCCCTGGGCCCTCCTCTCTGTCTCTCTCTTTCTCTCTCTGTCTCTCTGTCCATCTCTGTCTCTGTCTTTCTGTCTTTCTCTCTGTCCGTCTCTCTGTGTCTCTGTCTCTCTCTCTCCACTCTCTTGGTGACCTCATCACCTCTAACTCCACTGGATTTATTTTGTTTGAATGTATTATTTGCTCGTCTCTCTGTGTGTGATTTCCTCCCAATAGATTGGAAGCTTCTTGAGAGCAGGAACTGTTTTGTTTTTATCTTTCTGTCTCCAGAACTTGGCATTGTACCTGGCACACGGTAGAAGTTGTTGAATTGGATTCAGGTGAATTTCCCAGGCTGCAGAATTTGCCTAATTCTTGTGTTACCTCCTACCTCAGTTTCTCTCATGCTTGTTTCTCCTTCCCCAGCCCCTGCCTGCATCATAGCATCTCCCCATGTGTAAAAGCCAAGGATAAAGCTGGGACTCCTCCAGGATATGGATTACCTCACGCAGTCACTTTACCTCCTTCCTGTGCCTTCACTTATTTGTCTGTAAAAGGGGGGAGCTGAATGCAGTGACTTCTGAGGTGCCTTCTACCTCTCCATGTAGGATCCTCTGGGTTGGGGAGAGGGCTGTACGAGGAGGGAGACTGAGACCCTCTGCTTTTCCCCTCTTCCTTTTGGAGCTAAGTCACCACCCGTGACCCCAACTGTGTGGTGTGTGGTTCTGTTTCTGGACCAGCTTCCAAGGCTCCTGGTGCTCCATATTTGCTGAGAATAAGAGAATGAGGAAATGCATCCCTCACACGCCCGGCCATGTATGTGCCTGTGTGAATGCGTGTGGTCCTGTTGGCTCCATTTGTCTGTACGTGTCTTGGTGATCCTGGCTATATCTGCTTCTCTGCTCAAGTCAAGTGCGAGTCTTTGTAAGAAGGAGCTCTTATGTCAGCTCATGCATAGCTGGTGTACCTGCTTGAATAAGGAGGCCAGGAGGGAACAATTGTGGGAAGGGACAGGTGGGAGAAGGACACACACAGCTCCACACAGGGCAAATTGGTTTCCTTGCCTGGCCAAGGCTTCAGTGACTCCAAGGCTGGACAGCGACTCACAGAGGCAGTTTATATTACAAAACAAACAAAAAGTCCATAGACCTCTGCAACTGCCCAGGCTGAGCATTCCCTTGCAGCTCTCCTCTACTGTACTCCTCATAGCCCTACTGCATGCTGCTCTCTGCAGCCTTGGAGCCCACTTTGCACCTTCAATGGTCGAGCACAGGTCGGAGCTGTGTTCCCAGCTGCCTGCCTCTGCAGCATGGTAAGCATTGCTCTCCTCTGGGACCCAGGGAACGCAGGAGCCCCTGCATGGGGGGAGTAGGGTGCCCATTGTGGATCCAGTCCAGGAGGAAGCTGCAGGGCTGGCCCCAGACAGGGTAGAAGAGGGCTTCTGGGGCTGGCCCCACTTGGGTAGGGGGAGAAGAGGAGGAGGGGAAAAGAGGGCATATGAAGAGTTGGGGGGAGAAGAAGGAGGAGGCAGTTTTCAGAAAGACTCAGCTTGAGACCGTGTATTGGCATCTTCCCAGCCTGGAAAACTGGAAGGAATCTATTTGGGTGCATGGGTCACTGCTGGGCTGTCCTGGACAACGCTGGAGCCTAGAAGGAGGACCTAGGACTTAGGGCTGGAAAGGACCTTCTCAGTAACTATATAACCCAACCCTCTCATTTTACAGAGGGGAAATTTAAAGTGACCCGGTTAAGGCGTACAGCTAATAAGTGGTGGAGCCCACGTTTACACAAAGAAACTCAAACATTTCTATTCCCAGCACTTGGCAAGGCTAGATCTCAGTCTGAGGCTGAATTTGAACTCAGGTCTTCCTGACTCCAGGAACAGTCCTCTATCCACTGCACACCTAGCTGCCTGGTGAAGCGGAATAGGTGGGATGAGGACAAATTGTGAAGAGCTTTAAATACCAAAGAAAGGGTACTTTATACCAAGAGGAAACAGGGCACCCCCAAAGCTTGTTGAATAAGGGCAGTGGGTGACTTGGTCAGATCTTCACCTGGGCACTTTGGCATTAGGGGGAGGGTGGTTTGAAATGGGAAGAGAGGTGGTCAACCAGCTGGAGGAAGGAATGAAGGAAATGAGCGCTTATTTAGCTCCTACTGTGTGCCAGGTACCGTGCTAAGTGCTGGCAGGAAGAGGTGAAAGATGACGACCCAAAGTGGGTGCAGATGACGCTGAGCTGGGAGGGAGAGCTTACACACCAGAGCACAGACAGGGTCCAAAAAGCTCCTGACAGGCCACAGAGCAGACAGAATCCAACTTAACTCCTTTATCCGATGAGCTCATGTTTGGAAAGCTCTCAGCACAGTGCCTAACGACACAGTAGGTGCTTAACGGAGGCTTATTCCCTTCACCCACTTTTTGAAATAAACAGCAAGTCTCCCAGCTGGGTACAAGAAATTCACTTCCCAGCTAAAAGATGGAGAAAGCATGAGTAGAGGGCGTCTGGTCTGAAAAAGACCCCGGGGGAGGGGATCGGTGGACCACAAACCCAGGCTGAGCCACATCTGCCGTGGGATGTGGCTGCCAGGAAAAAAAAAAAAAGCTAGTGCTGCATCGGATGAGACTCAACCAATAGTTCCCCCGCTCAGCCGCTAGGTGCCGCCAGAGTGCATAGAGTGCCGACCCAGAGTCAGAAAGCCTTCTCTCCCCGAGTTCAAATCTGGCCTCAGACATTTCTTAGCTGTGTGACCCTGTTTGCCTCAGTTTCTCATCTGTAAAATGGGCTGGAGAAGGAAATGGCAAACCATTCCAGCGTCTCTGCCAAGAAAACTCCAAATGGGGTCAGGGAGAGCTGGCCAGGACTGAAAGACGACTCACCAGCGATGTGAAAGGTTGCCAGGCAGCGGAAAGATCAGACTCCTTTTGTTTGGCCCCGGGGGCAGAAGCAGGGGCAGCAGAGGGGAGGAAATCGGGAAGGAGCCAGCGTAGGCTCGATACCGGGAAAACAAAAGGTCCCCTAACAATGAGAGCTGTCCCAGGGCGGAGGGGGCTGCCCGGCCAGGGGCCGTCTGCACACTGACCCCAGGGGCCATCTGCACGCTGCCCGGCCAAGGGCCATCTACAACCTCCGCCTTCCAGAAGGTCTCCAAGCCGAGCCTGGAGGACCCCTCCTTGGGCTTCTCTGGGGCACCAGCCGGACCAGCTGGCTGCTGAGATTCCAGGAGGAGGGCTCACATTCCAGCCTCCCCGAGATCGCCAGTGACGGGGCGTGCAGCCAGTAGCCACGCTAGCTCTTCCCACTGCAAACCAACCCTCCCCCATTCCCGCTGGCCCGTCTGCAGCTTTGCAGCCTCCCAGCTTTCTGCACTGTGAGTCTGGAATGGGCCCCTTGGAGTAGGTATTACCGATCCCTCCCCCCTTCGGGAAAATCACAGCCCCTTCCCCCAGGATCACCAAACAACCAAATAGGGACGGCTCACGTAGTCTTGAGCGGATAAAGCGACTGGCCCTGGGTCCCCCAGACAGTGTCTACAAGATCCCAGGTCTACAGCGAGAAGAGACCTCAGTGGCGTCTTAGTCCAGCCCCAACCCTCATTTTACGGGGGAGAAAATCGAGGCCCGGGGACGCGAACTAATTTGCCCAAGGTCACCTGGGTAGCAAATGACAGAAGCGACATTTGAACCCAGGGCCTCCAACTCTCAACCCGCTAAGGTTCCCAGACAGAATTCTCTTCCTTCCTCCCTTTGCACAGGCCCAGGCTCCTCCTCACCTCAACTGCTCTAGCTTCCCCAGGGACGTGTCTGTGGTAGGACCAGCTGGGTCCCAGCTCCTCAATGGAAGCGGCAGCGCCTGGGAAGCCTTTGACCTGGAGGACTTGAACTTGACCGCCGAGGAGCTGAGACTCAAGTACCTGGGCCCCCCGCAGAGCAGGCTCTTCGGGCCCGTCTGCACCACCTACCTGCTGATCTTTGCTGTGGGTGTGGCGGGCAACGCCCTCACCTGCCTGGTCATCCTCCGCCAGCGGGCCATGCGCACGCCCACCAACTGCTACCTGTTCAGCCTGGCCGTGTCCGACCTGCTGGTGCTGCTGCTGGGCATGCCCCTGGAGCTCTACGAGATGCGGCAGAACTATCCCTTCCAGCTGGGCGCCGGGGGCTGCTATTTCCGCACGCTGCTCTTTGAGACTGTGTGCCTGGCCTCGGTGCTGAACGTGACGGCCCTCAGCGTGGAGCGGTATGTGGCCGTGGCGCGCCCCCTTCAGGCCAAGGCCCTCTGACCCGGGCCCACGCCCGCCGGGTCATCGGGACCCTCTGGGCAGCGTCCGTGCTCTGCTCGTTGCCCAACACCAGCCTGCATGGGATTCAGGAGCTGGAGGTGCCCGGATGGGGCGTGGTGCCCAACACGGCCATCTGCACGTTGGTCCGGCCGCGTGCCATCTACAACCTGGTGGTGCAGGGGACCACCTGCTCTTCTTTGGCCTCCCCATGGCCACCATCAGCACCCTCTACGTGCTCATTGGCCTAAGGCTGCGGAGGGAGAGGCGCCTGTGGACCCAGAGCGTGGCCAGCAGCAGTGCAAGTGACAGCAGCAGTCTGGCGGACAGGCCAAGGAGCTGCCCGGGAACCCCCCTGCAGCCCAACAGGCATCGCCAGACGCAGGTGACAAAGATGCTGTGTAAGTGAGGGAGGGAGGGAGATTAGAGGCACAGGGGTCAGTGTAGACACAGGAGGGAGATTAGAGGCACAGGGGTCAGTGTAGACACAGGGAGGGAGATTAGGGGCACAGGGATCAGTGTAGACACAGGGAGGGAGTTTAGAGGCACAGGGTGTCAGTACAGACACAAGATTATAGGTTTAGAGCCAAAGGAGACCTTAGTCTAACCCCCTCATTTTACAGATGAGGAAACTGAGGCTACAGAGACGAGGTGACTTAGCAGGGGCTACCCAGACCGCCCTAGTACACAAAGCCAGAAGCAGGTCGGCAGGGCTCAGAGCTCCCCCCAAGTCACTCCGTTGTCTCCATCTTGTAGTTGTGCTGGTCGTGGTGTTTGGGGTCTGCTGGGCCCCGTTCCACGTGGACCGCCTCATGTGGAGCTGTGTGTCCCACTGGTCGGAGGAGCTGCTGCAGGCCTTTGAGTACGTGCACGTCATCTCGGGGGTCTTCTTCTACCTAAGCTCAGCTGCCAACCCCGTGCTGTACAGCCTTCTGTCCAGCCGCTTCCGAGGGGCCTTCCGCCAAGCCTTGGGCATGCGGGAGGTGAGGCAGCCCAGGACTCTGCTGCCTCTGCAACCCGTTCTTCCCCAGTCCCGCCACTGAAGAAGGCGCCTTGCATGAACCAAGGTTCTGGGCAATGGGAGGCTAGAAGGGAGGGTGGTCAGAGAGCCAGCCCCAGAATCACAACCTCAGAGAGTGAAGAGGAGCTCAGTGGTCAGCCAGGCCAATCCCCCACTGGAGGCCTAGCAAGGTTCAAGGTCACAAGGCTAGGAAGGAAGGAAAGGGCCAGGGAAAATGCCCAGAGTTGGGAGACAGAGTGTCTTGTGCTAAGAACAGCCCCTAGAAGGCAGAGTATATTGGGGTGCAAGGCAGGGGGGAGAGAATGCAGGGTATGATACTGAAAAGGTGGGGGCAGGAGGCGAAGGGCTTTGAATGCCAAACAGAGGGTTTTTATTTGATCCTGGAGGCAATAGGGAGCCACTGTCATCTATGAAGGCGGAGGGTGACTTGCTTGGCTTTGGGAAGTTCACTTTGACAGCTCAGTGGAGGATGGATTGGAGTGGGGAGAGACTTGAGTCCAGGAGACCAACTGAAAGGCTATCTAACACCTTCAATTCTTCTTATATTGACCCCAAATCTACTTCCCAGTTACACCCTCTGCGGCCAAGAAGAACTAATTAAATCTTCTGACAGATTTTCAGACATTTGCAGAATCACTTTTCTTTTCAGAGGTGGGAGACCATGGGTGTGGAACATTGTATACAGTACCATTGATTTATTGAACTTTCTCATTACTCTCTTTAAAATTCTGTGCTATAAGGAATGGCTTCCTGGGTAGGCTGGAGAAAAGATTTGGTGCTGAAGGTGAAGCAAAAATGAGCTATCAATTAATTTTTTTAAATTTGAGAACAATGACTGTGCCCCTGGAAATCTTCTCTGGGACAAACATCCAAGATCTTTCCACCACACCTCATAGGGTATGGCTTCCAGGCCCCTCACTATCCTGACCAGCCTCCTCTGGATGGCTTCTAGCTTTTCATGGTCTGTCCTAAAATGTGGCAACCCAGTTGGAATCAGTCCTCCAGGGTGTAGGAAAACGGACCCAATTGAATCCCTTGTTCTGAACACTTCTACTAATGCAGTCTGATATTAACTTAGCTTTGCTGTCTGTCCTTTCACAGCAATGACTGATACTGAGCCTGAAGGCCGCTAAGATCCCCAGATCTTTTTCATACAAACCTAGCTGGGCAGCTAGATGGCACCATAGTGCATAGAGCACTGGCCTGGAGTCAGGAACACTCATCTTCCTGAGCTCAAGTCTGGCCTCAGATACTTACTAGCTGTGTGACCCTGGGCAAGTCACTTCACCCTGTTTTGCCTCAGTTTCCTCATCTGTCAAATGAGCTGGAGAAGGAAATGGCAAATCACTCCAGTATCTCTGCCAAGAAAACCTCAAAAAGGGAAACAATTGAACAACTAGAGTATTGTCTCGCTACATCTCCCCCTTCCCCTATTCTGAGTACTTCTTCAAATGATGTTTTGCACCCAAATGCAAGACTTTACATTTATCCCTAGTGAACTGTATCCTTAATTCAGCTCTCAGGCCAGGCTGTCCAAATCTTTTGGCATCCTGACCGTCATCCAACATGTTAACTAACTATCCTGCTGAGTTCCATATCTTCTGGAACGGTAACATTTCAATACAATAAAATATAATATTTCAATATAATAAGGACGCTACCTATGTATTTCTAGAAAACGTATTGTGAGCCTTCGGTTTTATATCCCTCTGCACTTCCCAATGTGTGTCCTTCCCCTCTCCCCCTCCTAGAGAGCAATCCTTTGGGAAGTCTGTTTTTCACACTGGGAAAATTTGTCTCATATTAAATTTTGGTTCTTGAACACCAGATACAAAACAGCCATTTTTAGCCTTGTTCTTCATGCTAACAGCCAAAATTTGCCTTAAGTTCATTCTAGTTGTATTAACCCAGCTTCCCATGTAGAAACAAAAACCATTGTTTTCAGTACATTCATCTTACTTTAAATTTTTTTTTTTGCATTCTGAATTTAACAAAGAGGAGCATTTCTTCCTGCCATGTCATTATTGATGTTATTAATTTTTTAAAAGTCGCACCGCACTAACTATGCTAAGTAGTCACAGAACTCCCGTGGGTCAACTGGACCGGCTCACCGGTCCTCAGCGGCAGGGGAGAGGCTCCTTCCAGCAGGGTCATGATGCCGTCGCCGGGGAAAGACTCTAGCGCTCTGTTCTAAGCCAGAGCTGAAGGGCAGCCTCCCAGCCAGCTCCAGTCGCCTTCCAATGGTCGCAGCCAACCAGAACCCCTGCTCTTCTTCTCGTGTGATGGCTTCTTCCGGGTTGGTGGTTTCCAGTGTGAGAAGAGAGACGATGATCAGACAGGAGAGGGGGCCCTTGCCCTCAGGCTTCTGATGGCCCCAGAGTACCGGGCTCAGGTCTACACAGTGATGCTTCATCGGGTCCTTTCTCTGCCCCGCTCCAAGGCGGCTAGGTCCACTCACCTTTTGTTTTTGTTTTGTCTGTCCCTCCACAGTCAAGGTGGATTGGCGCTACTTCTCCAGTGATCTATACATATATAACATCACATTAATATCATAAATATTACACATAATATAATATCCTATAAATCACATATACTATCATAAATATTCTACATAATACAATAGCCCATATATAACATATAATGTCATGAATATTCTACACAATATAATATCCTATATATCACATATAATATCATAAATGTGATATATATACACATATAGAATGTGTATATCTGCATACGTTGGGCATCGGATAAGGACCAACAGTGCAGCTAAAGCGTGTTGGCATCTAAAAACCAGGTAAGTCAGTACTTCCCCCTTTTTTGCCCCCATAGCTGAAGAAGCAGAAAGGTCACTTGCAATTGTTTGTTGTTTCATATGTTGCCATTGGCAAACAAACAAACAAACAAGAATGCCATGGCCAGGTGGCCGCCTATTGGCCTAGCACATAGTCGGTGCTTCATAAATGCTTATCCATGCACTGACTGAGCAAACGTCCCAGTTTGCTTCCTGACCAGACCCTGAAACTTCTTCTGTTTCCTTCATATACGAGGTGTCCCAAAGTCTTCGTCTGAAGGCTTCGAGACTTCTGTGTTTTCCATTTACTTCATTTCTCTGGGTCTCAGTTTCTGCATCTGTAAAAAGTAGAGGGTTTGAGCAGAATGACTCCGAGTTCCCCCAGGAGAATGGAAGCCTCTTGAGGGTAGGGCCTATTCCTTTCCTGTCTGGTTTTCCGGGTGCTTTGCACAGTGCCTGGCACACAGAAGATGCTCAGTAAGGTGCTCAGTGACTTGAATGATTCCCTCGAGGGTGAGGACAGAGCCCTGCAGCAGGCCAGTAATGCCCTCTCCCCTGGTAGTTACATCATGGAGCAGCTGGGAGGAAAGCCTATTGCCAAGTGCTGCAGAAATGTGAGGTGTTAGTCGACCTGCCTTAGCTGGGTCTCTCCCAGCTTTGAATCACTTGCAGATATGTCAGAGACAGATTCTAATAGGGTTCTAATACTGCCTCTGACGCTTGCTGCTGTGTGGTGGAGGACAAGGCGCTTTGCCCCTAAGCCTCAGTTTCCCTCTAGATTTATGATTCTCTGGCTCCAGGGTCAGCATCACCAAGCCCAACCTGAGCTTCGCTTCCCAGTCTCCAGCTGCTTTCGGCTGGCCTCCTGAGGATGTGCTCCATCCCTGAAGCCACGTTCCCAGGGCGCTTCCTTTCCCAACCGTCCCATTCCACTTGAGACACCCTCGGTGTCCCCCAGGCTCCATCCTGAGCCTCATCTTCTTTCCCTCCGTGTTCTCTCTCCTCCTCCGCTCCCAGAGTTTCATAATCCTCTGTCCCAATGGACCATGACTCAGATATCTGGCCCTTAGTTCTCTGCCGATCCTGGATTTCCCCCAGGGCATCAGTGGTGGCCTGGATTTCCCCCTGGGGTCTCAGTGGTCACCGGGGAACCTTTAGCCTTCTCCCAATCCCACTCCCTTCTAGATGGCTCTGTCTCTAAGGGCAGCCCAGCTCCGCAGTGATCGCCCTGGGTTCACCACCTGTAAGTCACTCTCCTCTTCTTTCCCCTTCCTCCCGCCATGAACAGCAAGTTACCGCATCTGGGCCATTTTACTTACCCACAGCTCAGGCCGTCTGTCCCTTTTTCTCCACTCCCAAGCTCAGACCCTCTCCACCTGATCCTCACAGGCCTCCCAGCTCCCCCTTCTCCGTCCTAGCCTCGGCACCAATAAATCCCACCAAACGATCGTCCTGATACCTCAGTCTTGTGGGATGGCACTTCCTGCCAGAGAAAGGTGCGTGACTCCCTATTAGGATAAAATATAAGCTCTCCTGTGCCTTACCAGCCAGCCCAAAAGCCGCCAGCTTTCTCATCCACTTATTTCACCTTGCTCCCCCCATACAGTCCACATTTCTTCCACTGTCTATTCCCCACCCTTGTTATTCCTTCTTGTTTTACAGATGGGGAAACTGAGGCCCAGAGAGGTTAAGTCACTGGCCCAAGGTCATCCAGGTAGTGAGCATCAGAGCAGGTTTTGAACTCGGGTCCTCAGCCTCCAGATGCTGGGCTCATTGCACCTGCATACCACAGTCCCTGGGTGCCTGCAGAGACCTACATGTTGCCAGATAAATAATGGAGTCATTTATAGATTATTCACCAGCACCAGGGGTGGGGCTGGCTGGGAGGTCAAGGAAGGGCTTGTGTGGGTGGGGATCCCCAAGCTGTGCTTTGCAGGAAGCCGGGGAGTCAGTGAGGAGGGGGCTTTTAAAGGTCAAGTTCTTCAAATCCAGGTCCTGACACACCCTCCCTTTGACCAGGACTGGACTTGAACTCAGGCCCTGGGGCTTGGAAGCAAAGCTCTGGGTCTTGCTCAGGAAGGGCAGGGACCTTGTGTCCCATACAGGGCAGAAATTCCTGACTCCCTTCCCTGGGGGGGGGCCAGGCATGGTAGAGGAGGGAGCTGGGAGGGGGAGGAGTGGGGGAAGGGGGTCATCGGGAAGTGACTAGCCCAAGGTCACACAGATAAGAAGAGTCAGAGGCAGGATTCTAAACTTGGTCCTCTGCCTCCAAATCCAGGCCCCTGGCTCTCAGTCTTCATGAACTGACTTCCAGTCACAGGCCAAGGAGTGGGGAGAAGAGCCCCGACCCCTCTTCAAAGCCCACCCTCTCCACGGCTGCCCAGGTGCACTCTGGAGTGTCTGCCCTTCCCCCCACCGCAGCTGCTTCCCCAGAGGCCCCAGCTGTGGTTCAGAGGAGCTGGAGCACAGCTCCCCACTTCCGCCACAGTTTCTGCAGAAACCTGACCAGGACCTGTGTGCGCCCCCTGGTGGTGCCCAGCTGACACAGATGCTGGGTCCTCGAGGCCGACCTATGAGGGCTGCTCTCCCATGAGGCCCAGAGAGGGCTGGCAGCGAGGCCACAGTCACACAGGATGCCAGGATCATCCAACTGACCCAAAGGGGCCTGGAGAAGCGGACACAGCACAATCGCATTCGAGCCAACAGTCATTTATTAAGCGCCTGCTGTTTGCCAGGCATGGTGCCAGGGACAGTTAAACCAGTGACTGTCCTCAAGAAGCTTCCATTCTACGGAATGCAACAGGTCAATTAATACAAAATAATTTGAGGTTAGAAGGGACGGTTTGTTTGGGAGGGGAAAGAGAAATCTGGAAATGAAATGAAAAACAAAAGGAGAGAAATGGAAAGAATGGGGGGCACAAACATAATCTGAGGAGGAAGGAGGGGGCTCTAACGGGGGAGGAGTGAAGGTTGGGGAGGGAAATTCAAGGCCGGGGGGAGCACGCACCTGTGCAAAGGCGTGGAGGTGGGAGATGGGAAGCAGAATGTAGATGAACAAGTCCAGCAGGGAGGTAGAGCAGGTAAAGTGATGCTAGAAGGGTCTGCTAGAGGCAGATGGGGAAGGGCTGAGCCGTTTGTACTTTCTCCTGAGGCAATAAGGATCACCAGTGCCTCTGGAGCAGGCGAGTGACCCAGAAGCCCCAGAAGAGGTCTAATCAGGGCAGATGACAGCGGCTAGGACTTTAAGCTGGGGTCTTTGACATGACTACCGGAGAAACCTTTGGACAGTTCCTAAGGAAACAAAGTCCCCTCTGAGTTCCCCAGGCTGACATATTGCCGGCTGACGTTGGAAGCTGAGGCACAGAGAAGTGAACTAATTTCCTAAGGTCA